ACCTATTTGACGGCTCCTACGTGTTTGAATCAATCGGCTGCCAATATCTTCATTCAACCATCACCTTTCGAAGCCGTTGAACTAATTAAACTGACACTGAAATATTCGATCAAACCTGTCGATATCTTAGTTCTTGGAACGATGACAAACATCGCTGCAGCTATCACCGAAGATCGTTCAATCATACCGAAGATCGGCACTTTATACTTTTCTGGTAAGTAATTCGAAAACTTTTATATTGTCTTTGATTCGATATAAATTGTTGTAGGTGGTCAATTCAAGTCAGTGACTGCTTACTCTTCGCTTATACCCAATTTACAATCCATGACCTTTCCATACTCATTAAAGACGTCGCAAAGTAGTTCTAATGTATTCTTAGGTAAGTGGCTCTATTTTCGGAATTGTCAATCGTTGGTACAGGAGATATGTGAACTTTTCATTCATGAACCTGCTCACATGCATGTTTTCGTGGAATTTAGACGTTCTTGCAATGCAACGTGTGGACGAGAGTGGAATAGAAAATTTTGTAGCAATGCCTTCGCTAACTCAAAGACAACTTCCAGTTAATTTGACACAGCTGGACATGAAATTGAGCCAAATGAATATCAATCTATCGCCATTTTTGTACAAATTTTTGACATCACTCGCGAAATGTACACAGCAAAATGAGAGCGACATTTATTGGTATATTTTTCAATTATTCTTCTCGCATAGTTAATGTTCTGTCTTATGTTTCTGCATCTAGGTGGGACAGTAGTGCAGCTACCTTCATGGTGGAATTACAGAACAATAAGTCTGACATATGCAAAGAGATCAAAACGATCAAATCAATCTATATTCTAGCAGCGGATGCTCATGACTTGTTTGGACAAGGTATGACAGATATCGAATCAGCAAATTCGAGTATTGAAGGACTTCCAACTTACAAGATTTGTACTCAAGCTGATTCAGACAGATTTCTGACAGAATTCTTAACTAAAATCAATTCCAACCAACTTCCTGCATGTAAAAACTCTTTCTCTCAACGGTTTGATATGAGACTGCAACGGTGTCTTCGAGCCCACGCCCTAGATTATGAACTAAATCGAGCTCTTTTTCTTCGACATACAACGTTTAAAACACTTTGTTCTCTTCTCATACTAACCTATATGCGTATATTTTACCGTTAAATATAAATCTATTTTCAAATATCATACCAAAAATTTTAGTAGAATCACGTCATTTAATACCACCAATGGCTAATTGCTATGTTGAGAAAAGAAGCTTAGATTACGCTCATGCCCATGATCGCAATCACAAGCGTTGCATACGTATTTTCAGTATCAAAGTCAATTTTTTTTATCAAACACATAGACTAAAATAGAGTATATGCTCCTAGTCAGTCAAGCTGTATGATGTGGAATAGGTATGAATGTGTACGAAGATCGTCATCGCAAACCGACACTCATAGCTTTTCGACAAATTTCTCGAATCTCCATCAGAATTTCGGCATCAAAACAGATTGTCGAAATTCCGGTTTACGGATTGTGGGTATGGGGTGTGGATACGGGCGTGCGGCGTGGGTGCGTGTGCATGAGGATATGACTCTTCTTCTCATTCACACCTAAACACACATACAAACTGCTCTTCTGAATTAGCGTTAAATGTTAACACTTATTAATGTTCTTCATCTTCGTTATGTGTATCAATACAGATCTCACAAAACCGCGATGTTGATTCAGTCGTCATTTTGGATTCACTACGACATTCATTACATGATCATCGTGAACAAGTGTCTTCTATTCAATCATAGAATTTAGTTTGATGGCAACAGTGAATGGTATTCAATTCATCCAGATCATTTGATGCGATCAGTTTTTTCCAACGATTTGCACATTTAATAGCTTTTACTTTTTGCTGGATGTGGGTGAAGAGAAGATTCATACTCACATTCATACTTTCTCAAATAGAGTGAAGGATGTCTACAAAAAACATTCTGCATCGGTCACTATCTAGTATATCATTCGAATGACTACTCATTTACCGAGATTCTCTGCCATGATACGTTGCGAGAATGTCATCGAGTAATAAACCCCCGACGTAAGACTGAATAGAGTCAGAGTATTGCTGGTGAATAGAATTCATTCACAAGTGTTTAATAGTCATTTGAGTATTCGATGAATCCGTCGAGATTTATGAATGTACTTTTTCGTTTCGTTATGCACAGGTAGTGGAAAACTCCCTGGTTTCCTTTTAAGGCTTATATCTGTAGACACAATAAAGCCTTCTATTGTTACGAACTAGCCGAGCACTTTTTATCCTCTTCGTCGTTGTCGAATAAACGAATATCTTGAAGTGGTAAACTTCATTGACTGCATTATTCCCGTACTCGTTGATATGCTGAAAAAAAACAAAGAGCTTGTTGAATGTAAATCATAGTAAGAGGCAGAAGGAACGAACCGTGAAGTCGTTTTGCAGCGTTATTACAACATATTTTCTTGAATGCTTCAATGAGATAATCATAATCTTGGTCGCTGATTATTTTCTTTTCGATAAGAGATTCTAGTACGCGGAGCGTTCCACTAAGTAAAGGATCATCGTGCAAATATTCAGGAATGTCTTCGCCAAGAAGAAATTGTAAAGGATATCGATCGTTATCGGATAGAAGATCCTGTATTTTGA